ATTGACACGTTCTCACCACATCCCTCCCCTTACGATCTTCCTCGGCCTAACCCACACTCTCTCTCTCTCTCTTCCCCTCTCTCTCTCCAAGGCTCTCTATCTTTCTTTCTCTCCCTGTCTCTCTTTCTCTCTCCCTCTCTCCCTTTCTCTCTACCTACTCTTTCTCTCTCTACCTCTCACCCTCCCACTCTGTTTCTCTACCTCTCTTATTTCCTCTCTCCACCTCTCTATCTCCGCCACTCTGTCTCTCGTGCTTTCTTTATTTATCCCACTCTCTTTCTTTCTCTCTTTCTCCCTATCTCTCTCTCTCTCTCTCTCTCTCTCTCTCACACACACACAGATACTCTGTCTCTCATTCTAACTCGCTCGCTTTAACTGCTTAATAGCTTACTAAAGCAACATATTTGAAACAAAGAAGTGTTTAAACCTTTCCACTGAAATAACATAGTCACTGTAATGGACTGAGCTATTGCTCTTTAACGGCCCCGGCAGTGCCGTCAATCAGGCTTTTGACGTGGTGGGCTGGAAGCACCTCAGTCACTGCAGTCGTTAATGTCGAGCACTCGGCTAGAAGGTGCTCTACTGTCTCCGGCGCCTGTCCACAGAGGCGGCAGCTCGGGTCCCGCAGTGGGTGCAACCTGTTCAGGTAGCTCCTTGTAGGGCAAACCTCTCCACTAAACCATCCCATCTTCATAACTACCTCATGCTGCCCCAAGCTCAATGTCCATGGTTTTGACATTTCACACAACAAATCGCCAATATCTTATGCTCTGCAACCGATGGAAATGTGGTTCCGAGATTAAAGAATTTTAGGAACTTGGATAATTTTCAAAAGCTATCCTTGCACTTTAAAATAAAATTTGGCAAACAAATCTCATGTTGTGTTACTGTACTTGCACTTCGCTCTTTCAAACAGACAGAGTTCAAAAACCACTCCATCTTTTCCGACGGACATAGGCCAAAAACCTCACAGTTCTTTTCTCCAATGCACCTATTCAAAAGAATGTTGTTGTCGACATTCGGTAAAGTTTCCTACATCTTTTATGCGCTGTCAGCGATTCTTTGTAAGGAAAACTTCTAAATGTTATTCGCTGTCCTGGTCAGGTCACGTGATGCTGTTTGTACTGTTCGTGGCTTCTGTGTTTTTTTTCCAGCGAGTGTTTTTACCGTCGCCGAAATTACGCTTTGATGGCAGCCACGCCTGAATGCAGCAGGGCTTGAGTGATGATTGGTTGGGCTTCTGAACACAATCGCTGGATTGACGATTGTGTAAGATTGCGAGAGCCAAGGAATAATTTTTATTGTATGTTAAATCAGGACTCGATACTATATATTTTGTGAGAGATTGCAGATTCAAGATGACTAGACGATTGTATTCAGACTGCAGATTGTATTAGTGCAGAGCTTTTGAAACGTAGCATATAACTTTGGAAACGTTCTGGGCAAAACGTATATCTGCAAAAGATAAAACGCTCTAATATTTATCTCAAAGCGTTGGTCTCATAGACGCCAGAAAGGTGTGTGTTTCTGCGGCCATTGTATAAGGACCCAAACCTTGACAACTTTGTCCGCCCCATTCATAGTCTTGTGGGCTTTTTGTTTACGTTTTGTTTTTCCCTTCGATTTCTGACTTAATATCTCTACAAACATGCAAGGGCAAACAAAAGGCAATAACGCTGTTAAATTTACTGTACATTCATGGATCGTAATATTATGTTCTTTTCTTTTAGAGTAAAAATATATACTTCTTGTGAGTGCGTCTTACACGACGTCATGTGGTTATTGGTATCCATTTCAACTGCTGGTCTTTTCATTGCTGGTAAGATTATGTTACACATTTATTGTTTAAACTACTATTATCGGTAAAAGATCCCGAGTCGGTCATTAATGGTATGATGTTTACGTTTAGTGAAGATTTTTTTTCTGAACTAAAAGTGGACAATTTCAATGTTATAAATATCTTTAGGACTTTTTGTTTTTTTTGAGAAATAATATTTTATTAATTATTGCATACATTTTATTCTCATAAGAATGTGATTTCTTTTTAAAAATTCATTAGAGTTCTCTAAAAATTAAAACCTAACTAAATCAAAAACTTGTTTTTATAGTTATTTTTTTTAAAACGCTGTGACATTATCAAGCATTTTACCGTTGCTAGTATGTACAGTGGGCAACTTTTAGTAACGTCACGATTTTCCCTAACGAGACTGCGACTCGGAGCTTCTTATAAACCAAAATCTTCCAAAAATGAATACAAAAAAAATAAAAAATACACGTCCACATACGTATTTTTTTTATATTCTAACAAAAACCAAATTTAGCAGGGGAAAAAATTATGTTTTTATCAACCAGTTTTATGGCATTAAGTTGTCTTAGTCTCGTGTGAGCCGAAAATTATTTTAAACGTAAGCATTTTTTTTTTACATCCTTCCTTCAACGTCCCTTCTGTTCTTGTGTTTCTTTCGGGCTGGTTGTGTGGCCAAATTTTTTTATAGCTAATTGACACACTTCCCGTCAACCTATGAAAATGAAAACATGGCACATAGACTCGGTGACCATGAAAACATATTCTTTCAAATTTTCATCCCCATCCCTAACCTCAACCCCCGAAATTCAGTTTTTCAAAGGGAAAATGAGAGAAATATGTTGTTATTAATTTCATAAAATAAAATTCCTGATAATTTCGCTAAATATATTGCAAATGCGTAATACTTTCTAGAAGGGGGGGGGGGGCGGCACTAATTGGGATTCTTTTAAAGTGCGTTGCTTGTATGCATGTGTTGTCAAATGTTTAGCACCCTCCCCCACAGATCGATATTACCGTTCATAACGTATTTATACTTTGTTTTTAAGGGTTGTTCAATTGTTTCTTTTTTTTTTTTTTTTTTATTTTTTTTTGGGGGGGGGGGGTGGAGTAGGGGTGGGGTGTTAAAAGTGTAACTTTTAGGGGCTGAGAGTGGGGCCCTCAAAGTTAGAGGATGGAGGAGGGGTAAATTAGTAAGTTTAAGGGGTGTAGAGTGGGAGAGAATTAGATATAAGCAGAAAATTAGTTCATTTATAAACTGCGTGAGAATGTACCCGAGGTGGTCGGTTCAGGAAGGATAGAGAGGGTAAGTGTAAGGAGATGGGTAAGTGTAAGGAGATGGTAAGTGTAAAGAGATGGGTAAGTGTAAGGGGATGGGTAAGTGTAGGGTGATGGGTAAGTGTAAGGAGATGTGTGAGTGTAAGGTTATGGGTAAGTGTAAGAAGATGGGTTAGTATAAGACGATTGGTAAGTGTAAGGAGAGGGGTAAGTTTAAGGAGATAGGTAAGTGTAAGGAGAGGGGTAAGTGTAAGGAAAGGGGTAAGTTTAAGGAGATGGGTAAGTGTAAGGAGAAGGGTAAATTTAAAGAGAGGGGTAAGTTTAAGGAGAGGGGTACGTGTAAGGAGAGGGGTACGTGTAAGGCGATGGGTAAGTGTAAAGAGATGGGTTAGTGTAAGGCGATAAGTACGTGTAAGGCGATGGGTAAGTGTAAAGAGATGGGTTAGTGTAAGGCGATAAGTACGTGTAAGGCGATGGGTAAGTGTAAGGCGATGGGTAAGTGTAAAGAGATGGGTTAGTGTAAGGCGATAAGTACGTGTAAGGCGATGGGTAAGTGTAAAGAGATGGGTTAGTGTAAGGCGATGGGTACGTGTAAGGCGATGGGTAAATGTAATGAGAGAGGTAAATTTAAGGAGAGGGGTAAGTGTAAGGAGAGGGGTAAGTGAGTAAGTTTTAGGAATGATATAGTGGGACACAGTTAAATTGATGTCCTAAATCTGATTAGTTTTTAATAAAGAAAGTATTGATCATTGATACACTATGTTTTAATCGAGACATTTCAATTAATTCTATTCACAGGAAGAACACCATTGCGATGATGGATTTAAAAACGGAGCAACCATGGGCGCCCGCCGAAAACTTTCTAGGGGGGGGGGGGAAAGAAATTGATTAACTTTCTAGGGGGGGGGGGCAAAAAAATTTAGTTATGTTTTAATGAGTTTTTAATTTACTGTTGTNGGAACTTGGATAATTTTCAAAAGCTATCCTTGCACTTTAAAATAAAATTTGGCAAACAAATCTCATGTTGTGTTACTGTACTTGCACTTCGCTCTTTCAAACAGACAGAGTTCAAAAACCACTCCATCTTTTCCGACGGACATAGGCCAAAAACCTCACAGTTCTTTTCTCCAATGCACCTATTCAAAAGAATGTTGTTGTCGACATTCGGTAAAGTTTCCTACATCTTTTATGCGCTGTCAGCGATTCTTTGTAAGGAAAACTTCTAAATGTTATTCGCTGTCCTGGTCAGGTCACGTGATGCTGTTTGTACTGTTCGTGGCTTCTGTGTTTTTTTTCCAGCGAGTGTTTTTACCGTCGCCGAAATTACGCTTTGATGGCAGCCACGCCTGAATGCAGCAGGGCTTGAGTGATGATTGGTTGGGCTTCTGAACACAATCGCTGGATTGACGATTGTGTAAGATTGCGAGAGCCAAGGAATAATTTTTATTGTATGTTAAATCAGGACTCGATACTATATATTTTGTGAGAGATTGCAGATTCAAGATGACTAGACGATTGTATTCAGACTGCAGATTGTATTAGTGCAGAGCTTTTGAAACGTAGCATATAACTTTGGAAACGTTCTGGGCAAAACGTATATCTGCAAAAGATAAAACGCTCTAATATTTATCTCAAAGCGTTGGTCTCATAGACGCCAGAAAGGTGTGTGTTTCTGCGGCCATTGTATAAGGACCCAAACCTTGACAACTTTGTCCGCCCCATTCATAGTCTTGTGGGCTTTTTGTTTACGTTTTGTTTTTCCCTTCGATTTCTGACTTAATATCTCTACAAACATGCAAGGGCAAACAAAAGGCAATAACGCTGTTAAATTTACTGTACATTCATGGATCGTAATATTATGTTCTTTTCTTTTAGAGTAAAAATATATACTTCTTGTGAGTGCGTCTTACACGACGTCATGTGGTTATTGGTATCCATTTCAACTGCTGGTCTTTTCATTGCTGGTAAGATTATGTTACACATTTATTGTTTAAACTACTATTATCGGTAAAAGATCCCGAGTCGGTCATTAATGGTATGATGTTTACGTTTAGTGAAGATTTTTTTTCTGAACTAAAAGTGGACAATTTCAATGTTATAAATATCTTTAGGACTTTTTGTTTTTTTTGAGAAATAATATTTTATTAATTATTGCATACATTTTATTCTCATAAGAATGTGATTTCTTTTTAAAAATTCATTAGAGTTCTCTAAAAATTAAAACCTAACTAAATCAAAAACTTGTTTTTATAGTTATTTTTTTTAAAACGCTGTGACATTATCAAGCATTTTACCGTTGCTAGTATGTACAGTGGGCAACTTTTAGTAACGTCACGATTTTCCCTAACGAGACTGCGACTCGGAGCTTCTTATAAACCAAAATCTTCCAAAAATGAATACAAAAAAAATAAAAAATACACGTCCACATACGTATTTTTTTTATATTCTAACAAAAACCAAATTTAGCAGGGGAAAAAATTATGTTTTTATCAACCAGTTTTATGGCATTAAGTTGTCTTAGTCTCGTGTGAGCCGAAAATTATTTTAAACGTAAGCATTTTTTTTTTACATCCTTCCTTCAACGTCCCTTCTGTTCTTGTGTTTCTTTCGGGCTGGTTGTGTGGCCAAATTTTTTTATAGCTAATTGACACACTTCCCGTCAACCTATGAAAATGAAAACATGGCACATAGACTCGGTGACCATGAAAACATATTCTTTCAAATTTTCATCCCCATCCCTAACCTCAACCCCCGAAATTCAGTTTTTCAAAGGGAAAATGAGAGAAATATGTTGTTATTAATTTCATAAAATAAAATTCCTGATAATTTCGCTAAATATATTGCAAATGCGTAATACTTTCTAGAAGGGGGGGGGGGGCGGCACTAATTGGGATTCTTTTAAAGTGCGTTGCTTGTATGCATGTGTCGTCAAATGTTTAGCACCCTCCCCCACAGCTCGATATTACCGTTCATAAAGTATTTATACTTTGTTTTTAAGGGTTGTTCAATTGTTTCTTTTAACTAACCATCCTCTAAAATGACAACTTCATAGACGCATTGTTTGTTGGTGGTGCCTTCTCAGGGAAAGCTCTTTACTTTGAACAACTAGGAGACATAGTTTCAGTGACTTTCAGCGTTCTGGGTGCGGTGGTGCGGACAGCACCTGGTGACACCCTTACAGGGAGATGACGAAAAATGGAAAATGTAAATTCGAACATATTCGTTCGTGAGTTGATTTAATAACAGAACTCACCGGAGCAGGTATCCGATGGAATATAGACCCACCAGAGCAGGATGCCAACAGAGCAGGGTGTCACTAGAGTGGGTTCCAGCAAAGCAGGGTTTGGGAATCTCTCTCTATTTTATTATTTCACCTAGCACAATTTGTCACGGTCTGTTGTTCATGGCTTCGTGTGAGTTGAACATTTCGTAGCCCATCTACCGAGGGACATTCCACGCTTCCTGGCCGTGCCATGCTGTCAACTGGAAACGGTAAATAGAATAATATTGATTTTGATGAAGCTCTGGGCGTGTTTCACACTTCGAAGACTAGGAAAGTAAAGTTTTTTAAATCTAAATATATCATTTTCGATTAAGAGTAATTGTTTTGCATCTTTTCAACACTGCTACCTCAACTTATGCTATGTTTTCTTCTTATGTCCTTCGTTGCTTTAGCACTTCCTTTACGAACTGTTCTGTATAATCTGGTCAAGAGACGCTCCGTGCATGGTCCGGTGGAAAATGAATTAGGAGAAGGAGAAGAGGTTACACCATGAGTTAGCCAACCAGGGTGTCACCAAACCTATGACTCATCACCTTAGTTGTACTGTTAACTATCTTTCACGTAATCTTTAGCGTCACGTCGTACATTACAAGAACAGTTTTTATGACTTTATTTGTGATTTTTTTTTTTTGTTATCCATATAAATGATTCTTAATATCCGAAAGTGTGATGCTAATAAAGGAAGAGAGTATTTTTGTATGATCTTTTTGAACTGTCTTTTTCATGTATGATTCTATAAACCGGCTGCATCCAAGAATCCAGTGATCCGAATAAAAGACGCCTAATTTGATTGTCACCTCAATAGTTTTTGGTGTTCCAAAAATGTTTTTTTTTTTTTTTAACATTTTTAGTTTGCGCTCAACTGCAACCTATCGTGAACAAACCATTAATTCCTATTGGAGGGATATTCACGGTAACCTGCGATGCCAATCGTTTTCCTCCTGATTCTATTCCTTCACATTGGAACGTGATCACCGAGTTGATTTTAGAGAGGATAGCGGGTGGAGGACAAAGAGAACCAATTGCTGTTTATAGACCGTTTCCAATTCCTGGATTTTCTAATGTATCCAAGGTCAGTGATTAGTTCGGTTTAATCCCTGGACACTAATGGAGATGAGTTATAGAAATTTTATGATTTTTGTAAAATAAATTATTGAGCTTTTTTAAAAAATTAAAAAAAAAGTATTGTTGGCAGCACTGCACAATAGCTAGAGAGTATTTTTTTGTTTAGCCGTTTTATTCTGTTTAGCATCCGTCAACTGATAGAATCTTTCCACGAGATGAGTTTCAAAGACAGCTATTATTGCTTATTTTTACTCTGTGTAGCAAGCATAATCCCAGCATTGACTTTAACTATCCATCTTTGAAAATTTTAACTTTTGACAGTTTAAGCGATAACATAATGCCCATTAAATGCTTCTTCACAACAACATTTACATCAAGAGATAATTTAAGCTGTATTTAACTCGAACGCTGATGACATGATATCTTTAACGTTTTTGATACGGTCCGATGCACGTAGACACAAGAACAGTGAAAGAGCCCACGACGGCTGTCTTTCGTCTAGGAATGTTAACCCCAAGTCAGACCAGTGAGCCACTCGTAGAGAGAAACGCACACCAGCTGACCATTGATATAAAGCTGGCTTGTTATGGGAACTCTTCCAATGACTAAACTTATAATCTAATGAAACATTACAACGTTTCCCAAAGTTGCTATCCGCACAAAATGAGACAAGAAAGATGATAAAATATTTTTTTAAAATTCATAAATCTGGCACTGGTGCCTGGTGGAGTGTGAAACGTATTCACTGGTCAGTTAAACTTAACTGTTAGCTGCCACTGCCCCTGATCCACGACGGACTTATCTTAAGTAGTTTGTTGTTACAAATTTGAAACGAACGTACGATTTAAAGATGTGTTGTTTTTCCCCATTGTTTATTAGTTTATTCCAACCGGAAGAAACTGGATTGTTGAAGCTTCTGGAGGCATTGCGTCCGTTGACCCTCCGACCAACAACAAAGCGACAATAAAGATAGAATGGGTTGTCAAGGATGCGCAATGCTCGGATGCCGGCATATACAGTTGCTGTGCTACTTACCTCCAACCTGAGGGTGGGACTGAAAAGTTTACGAAGTCTCAGGATGTAAATGGTAAATTTTTTACTTTTTTTTTTTAAGTTAGATAGTTGTTTTTTTTTTTTTTACAAGCTGTGTTAATCTAAGACGCTACCATTTAGACAGTGTGCAGAAAGGGTGGTTTTAACTGAAATTACCGTTTCTTCATTCACGGAGTAGTAGCCCATAGATACAAAGTACGCGTAGAAAATAAATGTACTGAAACTCTCGAACCTTGAATGCACCGTGTGTTTGTTAAAGGTGCACACCTCCAGCCGCTGCGCGCTCTTATTTGTGTAGAGCAAGATGTCGAGCATGGATATTGATGTGTAATCGGTGCGCACCGAAGGGTGTGTTTTCTTGTGCGTCTTCCTGTGCAGGGTGCGTCTTCGGTGTTAGTTTCGGGGGTAATGCTTTGGGCGCCCTGACCTGGTGTCTTGGCTGTCTTTGAATACACGCCATTTCTTCGGCAGTTAGAGTCTGCTTTTTATGTGAGCAGGTTATGATTGCTATTCGCTTCTGAGTTTCTATGAATCTTTTAATTGTTGCATGGCCAGAGGATAAATAATTTGGATAAGACTTAATGTTGATCTTGGAGTAGGCCCTATGTTAGGCTTAATGAGATCATGACTTATGAACATGTAAAGGAGTTTTACCGTAAAAACTCAATCGCTGCGGGCTCGTCCGAAGATATGTTGGGATATCTTGTTACAAATTGGTCTCTCGACGGAGAAAAAAATTGTTTAGTTGACCATTAATTGGCTCGTTACGCAATTGTTTCATCAATAGGTGAAGAAGGGGGTCGTGTTTGAAAAAGCTTACAGGTCAATTCTAAGATTGGTTTAATAAGGCTAAACAAAGTAACACAGTTATGCTGTCTATTTTTTTACCAAAAATTACCGTTATGGAAGTGGATTGTGTCAACGGAGAGGAAGTCTGGTCGACTAATATGAAATTTTGTTTAGAGAAAGGGACCACGAAGACTATGCGGGCCATCCTTCAACTGAATATCAGGTCTATGGTTTTTTTTTCTGATTGCTTTAGTTTCATTGGTGCGTTTCCGTACCGGAAACAGTTTGCACAATGATATGCGGAGCCAGATATGCGAGCCGGGATGACGACTGTTGTCCATTTCTATGTGTACGGGGATCCGTATATTTAAGCAATGAGTGGTTATCCGGCGAAATTCACATTCGCTACAGGTTGATCAGAGCTTCCCTTCCGTTGACACAGTACATTTCCAGAAACGGGTTAATTTCCTATCGTCGTTTGTTTCAAATAATTTTGTTTATTTTTTTATTACCAGTCTCTGAATTGTTCTTTCCCTTTTTTTTTTGTTGAAACAAGGTCAGTGTTTACGCTGCTCAAGTATGAATACTGTTTCCTTAGTGGAGAGACCATTTCCAACAACAACCACCCATCGCATAGTTCATTTCACTTCTGTGTTCGCGCGGCAGTTGGAGGAATGGACCGTTGACGAAACAAGTCACGGGTTCAAGATACTCGAGTTTCAGTACATCTTGTTTCGGCGCCAACTGTGAACGTTGTGTGGAAATTTTAAGCGTGCAATGATACGCAATGATTACAAGTGGGGGACAATTATGGATGAAGACACATTAACAATGTACTCCCACACACTCTTTGACACACACGTTCTTGACACACACTCTTTTGAAACACACTCTCTTGACACACACTCTCTAGAGACACAATCTCTTGACATACTCTCTTGACACACACTTTCTTAACGTACACTCTCTTGATATACACTCTCTTGACACACCCTCTCTAGAGACACAATCTCTTGATATACACTCTCTTGACACACACTTTCTTAACGTACACTCTCTTGAAATGCACTCTCTTGACACACACTCTCTAGAGACACAATCTCTTGACATACACTCTCTTGACACACACTTTCTTAACGTACACTCTCTTGACATGCACTCTCTTGACACACACTCTCTAGAGACACAATCTCTTGACATACACTCTCTTGACACACACTTTCTTAACGTACACTCTCTTGAAATGCACTCTCTTGACACACACTCTCTAGAGACACAATCTCTTGACATACACTCTCTTGACACACACTTTCTTAACGTACACTCTCTTGACATGCACTCTCTTGACACACACTCTCTAGAGACACAATCTCTTGACATACACTCTCTTGACACACACTTTCTTAACGTACACTCTCTTGAAATGCACTCTCTTGACACACACTCTCTAGAGACACAATCTCTTGACATACTCTCTTGACACACACTTTCTTAACGTACACTCTCTTGACACACACTCTCTAGAGACACAATCTCTTGACATATACTCTCTTGACACACACTTTCTTAACGTACACTCTCTTGACATGCACTGTCTAGAGACACAATCTCTTGACACACACTTTCTTAACGTACACTCTCTTGACACACACTCTCTAGAGACACAACCTCTTGACATACACTCTCTTGAAACACACTTTCTTAACGCATACTCTCTTGACATGCACTCTCTTGACACACATTCTCTAGAGACACAATCTCTTGACATACACTCTCTTGACACACACTTTCTTAACGTACACTCTCTTGACATGCACTGTCTAGAGACACAATCTCTTGACATATACTCTCTTGACACACTTTTTCTTACAGAGACTTATTTGACATACACTTACTCGACATACTCTTACTTGACATAAACCTTTTTCCCCACACACTCTTGACATACGCTGTCCCAACACACATCTCTTGCTGCACACTCTCCTAACCTACCCTCTCTTACACACACTCTGTTTGCACATCCTCTCTTTAGACAAGCTCTACTAACAGATACTCTTTTGACATACACTCTCTACACACAAACTCTCTTGACATACACTCCAGCAGTGACATCTGCGCTTTTTAGCGATTTAAGCAATAAACCTCATGTAACGCTTAAATCAACTTAACACATTATTTAAAACGTCTTATTGTGCTTTACATTAAAACTTGTGTTTACTGTTCAACACAGCAAGTACAGAAGCCCCAGTGCTTACGTTAGACCCCCACAATGGCAAGGCGCCTGACGTCTCTACTAATACGAAGGGAGAAATTGTCAAATTGAAGTGTACATTTGAGGTAGATGGAAAAATATATCTTTTGAAATTAATTGTCCTTTTCTTGTTGAAAAGCATTTATTTTCAATTTTTATGCTTGATATTAAATCCTAGGGCAGCTGTTCTCAAAATGTGGGTGGCGACACCTTTGCGGGCCCAATGGCTTTTCACAGGGGTCGCGTAAGATCATCGGAAAACATATATACGCTAGAGTTATGAAGTTTCAACTGAATAATTTTTGCGTTTGGGGGTCGCTATAACTTGCGGAACTGTATTAAAAGGTCGCGGCATTAGGATGGTTGAGAGCCGTATACTATTGGCATGTAATTTGTTTCGTGATAACATCCTCTCTAGCTTTGGTTCACAACAAGGACCGACTGGAACCTACTAATAAGACGCTTGTCATGGACGTTTTTTTTATTTGTTCTTCCAGCTGGGTTTTCCAACATGATCTCTTTCTCATTTAACTCTGACCATCACGGTGCGTGTTCTGTGCTTGTCCAGTCGGCCCACTGTATTTTTCTTTAAATGTACCGACAAAAAAGTTGTTTGGACTAGACTCAGAAATCTTTTTTTTCTGCTCTCCGTCTTACAGCTCTCTCGTACTACTCTCTGTCTTACAGCTCTCTCGTACTACTCTCTGTCTTACAGCTCTCTCGTACTACTCTCTGTCTTACAGCTCTCTCGTACTACTCTCTGTCTTACAGCTCTCCTTTTTACTGCGCTCAGTCTTCCTGCTCTCTATGTTACTACACTGATGGACTGTCCTCAGTTTAATGCTCTCTACATTACTGCTCTCTGTCTTACTACTCTCTGTCTTACTGCTCTCTATCTTACTGCTCTCTATCTTAAAGCTTGACTACTGACGATTTTATTTTTACAAAATATTTTATTGGTTACAACAATGTCTGTACCTCATTCTTTCAACAGGCATAAACAACTTAGCACGTTGTTGTAGTTTCTTTTTCTATTATTGTATCTGTCAATCAATTGGTCAATCAATCTGTCAAGCAATCTGTTTATCAGCCTGCTAATCATTGCAGACGTTTAAGTGCATTTGATTTTTTATTTTATTTATTGCATTTAAAGGGTCCTGGTGGTCTTGTGTTGAGCTGGCTGACCGGACCCAGTGGCGGAAGCAAGTTTGTGCCCTACCCGACCAAGGAAGACATTCAATCGGTGACACCACGTCCTACTGAACAGCCAGTGGGATGTGGCGAATACGAGTCGACACTGACTTTCAAAGTACCAGCTGTGGACACAGTCTACATGTGTGTGGTAAAAGATGGCCAAGAAGAGGCCAGTCGGAAGAACTTCAAAATTTTGGTCAAACCAGGTATGAGGGGATTTTTTTTTTTTTTTTTTTTTAAATTTTATTTTAAGAGTGTTCATAAAGGACATACGCAAAAAGATATGCACTATTTTCCACCCCTTTTCCATTACCACCCTTGNTTGTGTTATTAATTCTTTTTTTTTATTGGGTGGTAAAGAAAGGAAGAAAAAAAAAAGGGGGGGGGGGCAGAGAGCTAATTGCACGCACACACTGGGTTGTCCAAATAGTACGGGCATAACAGCGGGGGTGGTGGCTGACAGCTGGTTGTACGTACACAATGGGTTGCCCTAAAAGTTTAATTTAAAAGATTACGGTTTTGATCTTTTTAGACAGTCAAACTCCAAAAGAATCCTTACTTCTTACTTAGCTTTGGTTTGCCTTGATGTCTGACTTGAACGCCCCAATTATCACTCTATTTGTGTCATCATTGTATTACTCATTTTAGACCTTGGCTATAATTTTTTTGAAATCGTGTGAATATTTTCTTTTTTGAGAAAAGTCATTTAGCTTAATGATTTCTATCAACACGAACAAAGGTCAAGGTAGGGCTTTTTTTTTTTTTCTTATGGAGACTTATGGATTAACGGTAGTTATCAACGATGTGGGGGGGGGGGTTGATTTTATCTCTACCTCCTTGATAGGCAAAATTTAAAGCAATGATGTTGACCAAAAGATTTATTCACATTGACAATACTGACGTCTTATTTAAACCATAGCAGTGAACCGTATAAAAGGGAGTTAATGTATCATAGTAAAAAAAAAATTGTCTGTGAGACTTGTGTGTGTTTTTCTTTAGTAGCAGGATAAGAGATAAACATGTTATTGTAGTTTCCCAAAACTATACGATGCATAAAATACCCAAGAACAAACTTTTAAGTTGGGCTTATTTAGTACGAGTAACGTTTGCAGTATGTATTTATCAAAAGAAATGTGTCCAAAGAATATTTCCTCTTTTTTTCTACTCTAGAAACTCGCAACACAGGCACGGCATTGGATCAGCGGTTGTGCGGGAATTTGTTTCTGATGGAAGTGCTCCTGTGGTCAACAATTCTCAAGTGTCACCTGGTCTAAGACGAATTACTCGCCAAGCTCCCACATGATGCATTCGAAAAATTGTAAATGCAATTCGACATCCATTTTGCTTCAAAATTTCTCGTGTCTATTCATGGCCCACATAGTCTATTTTACAGTAATACAATTAATTTTTACCTCTGATCATTTTGATGATGTTATTTTCCTCTAGTAGTGAAAGCCATTCAACTTTGAATTACGTTTTTTTTTTTTAAATCTGATATAATTTTTGAAAATGTTGTTCTCAAACAGGATGGCCGCAGCCCCCCCCCC